TGCGCAGGCAGCAGAAGGGGGGTTGCGTCGCCGCCAGCTGCGACGCTGCCTGCCGCCGCGTGTGCTCCATCGCTGCCCCCCTCCTCCCCATCCGCCTCGCTCTCCTCGTCCTCGCTCTCCTCGCCCTCGCTCTCCGCGCTCTCCGCGAGCCCTGCTGTGTCCTCGCGGTGGGCAGCCACACCCGCCTCCTCGGCCCCCTGGCCGGAAGCATCCGCACCCGACAGGGGTAGTGGAGGCGGCGGAGGCGGCGGCTGGGCTGGCAAGGGCGGTGGCGGCGGCGGAGCAGCGTGTGGCGGCGGCGGCGGCGGCGGCGGCGGCGGCGGCGGCGGCGGCGGCGGCGGCGGCGGCGGCGGTTGGTGGTCGGCACCGCCCCTTCTAGAGCGCGCGAAGCTCTTCGTCCGAGCCGAGAGGCTCGACGCACGGCTCAGCAGCTTGCCGCGGGCAGAGGACGGCGGCGCGGCGGCCGCGTGCTGCGAGGCAGCGGATCGCGCCGCGGCCGTGGCTGATGCCGTGGTGGAGAGCCTCGAGGTGGTCGCGGCACGGCCGAGGGCCGGGCCAAGCCTCCTCGCGTTGTCCATCGCGGTGGCTGTCGAAGCTAAGCCCGCCGCGGGAGCGCTCTGCTCCGCCTCCACGCAAGCGAGGCCATCGCTCGGGCTCTCACCAAACGAAGTGCGGCCCGTGCGCGGATTGCGAGCCTTGGCCATGCCGCGAGGCCGCCGCACGCGGTAGCTGAGCGGCAGTCCCGTCTCGTTGACGAGCCACAGCGGCGCCGAGACGCGCAGGCAGAGCACGGTCCGCTCGGAGCCGGCGCCTTGCCGCTCGATGTGGATCGCGGCGGGCCGGCCGTGAGGGTCGTCGAGCGAGCAGCTCGACGCCACGAGAGGCTTCCAGCCGGAAGCGGCGCCGGCGTGGTCTGTGGCGTACTCGGCGACGACGGGGCCCCACCGCCGCCCCATCCGCAGCCGCAATTGCAGCAGCTCCCCGCGCGGAAGGAAGGACGCAGCCGAGGAGCCCCCGGCGGGCAGAGTGCCCGCCGCGGTGGCGGGCACGAGGACGGCAGGGCTGACGAGGACGTACTGCACGGGGTACGGCAGCGCGCTCTCAAGGGCGAGTGCGGGCTGCAGCACCACCACCGTGCGGAGCGGCGGCTGAGCCGACAAGCTGTGCGCGCCGGCGAGGGCGAGCGCTGGCCGACTCGCCACCCGCACCGCCACCTCGTAGGAACCGGCACCGTCTCGGCGCGCCGCCGCCATCCGATGGACCACCGAGCTGGCAGCCTCGGCCTCGTGGCTGGCAGCATCGTCCGCCTCGCTGGTGCCAGCCTCCTCGAGGGCAGACTCGGCGTCGTCCTCGCCGCCCACCAGCCGTCGAAGCTCTTGCAGCGCCGCCTCGGGCAGCAAGCCCGCGAGCGCCTCCCCAAACTCACCTGTGGCACACAAGGGGAGGGGGGGGGGGTTAGTCGTCTCTCCAACGGCGACGTCCCCGGCGTGTGGCAAGCACCGAGCGGACAGTTGGCGCGCAGAAGCCACAGAGCGCCGCCGGCGGTCTCCACCACCAACGGCACGCCGGACTGCTGCGCGGTCACCGGACCAGAGGCAGCGGCGAGGTGCACGCCTCGCACGTCGGCCCAGTAAGCGCGCAGCGCCGGCTGGCTGCTTGCTGCCGGTTCAAAGGCAAGCCGCACGTCAGTGAGGTGGAGTGTGCCTCTGGCGGCGCCGCCCGAGGCGCCGTCCACCTCGAGGCTGGCGGCACAGCTGTGCAGCACCGCCTCGCCAGGCTGGAGGCCGACCCGAGCTGTGAGCCGCGCGCTCGGCGGCGGGTACGCTGTGGACGCCAGCTGCGGGTGGGAGTGCGCCAGGTGTCGCAGCAGACCGTGTAGCGCGCGGTCGCGCGAGGCGAAGCCGCAAAGCAGCAGGACGCGAGGGGCGGCCGCCGTGGCGCGTGGCGCGGAGCCGCCCGGCGGGCCAGCGCTGTGGCAAATCGCTATGGCCGGCCTGCGGGAGAGGGGCGTCTGCGCCTTTTGAATTGCGGTCAGCTTGCCGAGCGGAATCAGCTCTCGCATGTCGCGCCCTCCGCGCGAGGCAAAGGCCAGGGCGGTGGTCGTCAGGTGGAGCGTGCCGTGCAGCCGCCGGAGGCCGTTTGGGTTGTTCGGGTCGTTGGCCGGTAGCGCGCACCGCCAGCTCTCGATGAGCGCCTCGGAGGCCGCGAGATGCGGAAACTGAAGCAGGAGCCGCCCGAGCGTTCGCGCCGCCTCCCCTTCCCGCGAGCACGAGGCGAGCCAGAAGGACGCTGTCTCGGAGGGCCACTCGTACGCACTCCCGTCGGGATCGCTCTCGCCCGCGCCCTCACCCGAGCGAGCACGCCCCTCGCTCGAATGGGCCGGCCGCACCCGCACGCGCGCCGACATCAGATGCGGCGGGACCGGGATCGACCCGCCGGGAGACACCACGCCGAGAGACACGTGCGTGTCCGCCGCCGCGTCAAGCGAGTCGCCTCCGATTGCAGCGGCTAGTGCTGTTGCTGATTCGGCAGCTGGTTCTGGCAGCGGCGGCGGCGGCGGCGGCGGCGGAAGCGTGAGGATCTCGACAGCGAGCGGCTCCGGCGAAGAATTTGAGAGCTCGGTGTGCGAACGGACCTGGAGGCTGAAGCCAACGGCGCCGTCTGTAGCGAGGAGCAGCGGCCGGCTCACGCAATACACGTACAGCGGCGAATGGCGCGCGCCGTCGGGCGGCGGCACGGCACAGAGGGCCCAGGAGCCCGAGCGGGCGAGCGGCAAGGGCGGCAGTCGGTGCCAGGACCCGGCCGCGCCTTGCACCTCGAGGCTCAAGTGCAGGCGCTGGAGCGGCCGCGCGTCGCGGGCTGACGCAGGACTCGAAGGAAGCTCGAGCTCGGTACTGCCCGCAGATGGCAGCTCCGCCCCGGACTGCTCCACGGGGGTTGACACCCCCTTGCCCTTCCCCTGCCTCTCTTGCAACCCATAGCGAAGCCGTGCGCCGCAAGCGTTTTGTAGCCGCAATAGTACTGGTGGCGCGGCGAGGCGGCTGGCGGCGGCAGCCGAGGGCGCGGCGAGCGTGCGCAGCAATGCGACGCGCCCGTCGAGCAGCGAGGTGAGCATCGTGTCCGAGAGGCTCGCCTCGAGTGCCGACCCGTCCGCGTGGGCAGACCACTTGCCCGGAACAAAGACGGAGCCGCCTCGCTGCGCTCGCTGCTGCCGAGCCGTGAGCGCGACATCCCACGGCTCGAGCAGCGGCTCAAACGCGGCCGCGCTGGCGCTGTAGACGGAAACCTCGAGGCGCGCGTTGACTTGCACCTCCGCCGCCACCGAGCCAGAGGCGTGCCGCGCCGCGTGGAGCAGCGGGGCGCCCGCCGCCGCGCCCTCGAGCCGTGCGGCACACAAGGGCTGGTCGCGGCCGCGCGCAGAGTAGAGTTGTGCCTGCACGTGGCGCAGCAGCCGCACCTCCAGCGAGAGGGAGTTCCTGCTCGCGAGAGGCGCGAGCTGAC